CCCTGCCATCAGGAACTCATGGGGGTCTCATGCCCAGAGCAGCTGCAAGCACAGGAAAACAAGTTGTTTACTCCGGCAGGCAGGAGTCACAGGAAATTCAGGGTCTGAGGGTCTGCAGTCCCCAACATCCTTATCCTTCAGCAGCTACATGGCATCTTCTTGACTCCACCTACTCTCTATCTCTGTTCTGATTTCCCACCTGGCTTTACTCTGCTACGCCATTGGCCAAAAAGCTTTATTCATCAACCAATAAAAGCAACACCTATACAGAAGGGCATCCCACATCATCTCCCCTTTTCTGTCTAACTAAAAAGGAAGATTTTAACTTTTTTTTTTTTTTTTTTTTGGTTTATCGAGACAGGGTTTCTCTGTTGCTTAGCCTGTTCTGAAACTAGCTCTTGTAGCCCAGGCTGGCCTCAAACTCAGAGATCCACTTGCCTCTGCCTCCCAAGTGCTGGGATTAAAGGCATGCACCACCACCTCCAGGCGCGCCCTCTCTCTCTCTCTCTCTCTCTCTCTTTTTTTAATGAAATGCTTGTTTACTTATTTATTATTTGTACAGTGTTCGACTTGTATGTATTCTACAGGCCAGAAGAGGGCACCAGATCTCATTACCGATGGTTGTGAGCCACCATGTGGTTGCTGGGAATTGAACTCAGGACCTTTGGAAGAACAGGCAGTGCTCTTAACCACTGAGCCATCTCTCCAGCCCGGAAGATTTTAACTTTAACATAATAAAATTACATATACAAAATAGTTATCAAACAAGAATTATAGTTACAATATTTAGTCGATTTACATTTGGCAAATTAAGGAAAATACTCTATCATCTATCCTATCTTTGTGAGTCTTAGGTTTTATATCTCATTTATTCTTTATTATAACTAAGGAAAACTATAACTATCTGTCTTCAACTCTTCAAAGACCCCAGAAGGCTATAATACTGACTAAGTAAACAGGAAGTGCATTGTAAGCAACCTCCAAAACTATAGAATTTACAAGAGACATCTTGCTGTCTGGACAGCCAACCAAAGTTCTTCTGTAATGTTGTGGCATTCATCTTCAGCCTACCAGCCCATAATATCTGGCAGACTTTTCATGAAGCAGGAAATTTGAAGATCTGTGCTGCCTACATTGTGAGTAAACTCACAGAAAGAGTAGTGCTCTGCAGTCTTCTGCATTGCGGGGAACTGGAACCGAATCCAGCAGTCAACAGCCCCCCCCCTTTTACGTCTACATTTACATGAGACCACGCCCAAAGTGGCCCAGTATTTTAAAGGCTATTGGCTGAATAAGTGTGTGTGTGGGTGTGTGCCATGCAGTGATGGCCGTCAGAGGGTTCTCTTTCTCCTACCATGTGAGTCCCAAGAGGAGAACTCAGTCATCAGGCTTGGTGGCAAGTGGTGTTATCCATTGAGCCATCTTCCCAGTATCAGGTCCCAAGGAAATTCCTATTTCCCTAAATCCCCAAAGGCAGAAGGGACAAATGGCTATGTGTGGTATCTATTATCATATCAAAGCTTACACTGGCCTCCAGGCTCCCTCAGTGTCTCATTACCTGTTACACATTTCACAGTCCATGCTAGGTCCTAGCCCTTCTCACCTCTGCCCTACCCTGATGTCCCCAGCTTCTCATTCTCCTTAGAGCCCGGCTATTCTGGCTGTGCTCACCCTCTTACTCTCCCCCAGCTCTGTCGCACTCCCTCTCTCTATGTCCCTGGCTGTCCTGGAACTCAAGACCAAGCTGGCCTCAAACTCAGAGATCCACCTGCCTCTGCATCCCGAGTACTGGGATTAAAGGTGTGTGCCTCCACTGCCTGGCATTCTGAAATATTATAATAATCACTGCTGTGACAGACATGTTTTTCCATATCTTACATCATTTGAAATTTTTGTTTTATAAGTTAGTTATATGTATTTGTAGAACAGTGATAGAGTATAAATAAAGCAAACTGTTTACTTTATTACCGCTTATCTTTTATTGTTTTTTTTTTTAATTTTCAATCCAGGGTTTCTCTGTAGCTTTGGAGCCTGCCCTGGAACTCACTCTGTAGACCAGACTGGCCTTGAATTTACAGAGATCCATCTGTCTCTGCTTCTGTAGTACTGGGATTAAAGGCATGCACCACCACATCTGGCTAAGGAGGGGGTTGGGGCAGAAGATTTCCCAACCAGATATCTATATCTTGCTTGGGGCTCTGAGGCATCTCAGCTTCTGTGTTCATTGTGCCTTCTCTCAAGCCTTCCTTTCAGGCCAAGGCTACCCTTGCTGTGGAGTGTACCCCAAAGGAATAGATATTCCAAGGGTATTGAAGTGTTGGGTCATAGGTCATGTGTGGTATCCGTGGGCTCTTGCGTCTTCCTTGCATCTTCCTGTTGCATCTCTTGCTTCCTGCTAATGCAGTGCCAGCCTATCAGAAGGATCTTAGCACAGGCGAGCTTCCCAGCAGCCATTCATTTGATGTGCTGTGTATGTGAGGACGAACTAGACTGTTTTACAGCTGCTCCATGCTTCAGACGCACTATTAGGTGTGGAGAGGCCAGAACTGAAGCCAAGGCCAGACATGATCACACACCGCCTTGAGAGTCTCTCCCCATAGGTGTTCATGTTTGCCAGCACTTTTTGTTTTTGTTTTTGTTTTGTTGGGTTTTTGTTTTTCGAGACAGGGTTTCTCTGTAGCTTTGGAGCCTGTCCAAGCCTAGCCTGTCCTGGAACTAGCTCTTGCAGACCAGGCTAGCCTCGAACTCACAGAGATCCTCCTGCCTCTGCCTCCCGAGTGCTGGGATCAAAGGCGTGCGCCACCACCACCTGGCTTTACCAGAATTTTTATGGTAGCAGAGCTGTGTGTGGCTGCAGGTAGTTTGGAAATGTGTTCTTATATTTGTCTTTGTTGCAGTCATTCTCTTTATTGACAAAGCCACCATGTGACATGTTTAATGCAAAGACCCATTACATTAAATGGAACGGAAAGCCTGGCTTTGGCCTTTTTCTTGGACTCCACATGGCTTTGTCTGGTAGCCTTTCAGCATATCTTGTGAGACCATTCTGTTTATCCTCACCGTTTGTGTGTTGTCAAACAGGATCCAGGAGTACATCCAGCGTGCTCTTCTGACCTTGCTAGTGCACATCATTGTACACGTGTGAGTCTTTCTGCTCTGTGCGGTATGTGCAGGTCTCGGTATGTGGAACACTGTGAGGCAGCCTACAAAACCCAGGTCTTAAGTTTTGAACTAGTTGTCACCTTGTTCTTTTTGTTTGGCTGCAGTTGACTGTACAGTACACATGGTAAGTGAGCACTAGAGTTGAAGTTAGGTGTTGCCTGCTGCTCCCATAGTCAGGGACAGCTGAACTGACTTCATAGCTCTGGGCTCCTACCCTGGGTCAGAGCTGCCTGGCCTTATCTCCTCGGCCCTGATCTACCTTATGGCTGTGTCTGTTCCTACAATAGTTGGGATTGTGATTCTTCTTCTTCCTCTTCTTCCTCTTCCTCCTCTTCCTCTTCTTCTATTTATTTATTTATTTGTTTGTTTGTTTGTTTGTTGAGACTGGGTTTCTCTGTGTAACAGCCGTAGCTGTCCTGAAACTTGCTCTGAAGACCGGGCTGGCCTCAAACTCACTGAGATCCGCCTGCCTCTCTCTCCTGAGTGCTGGGATTAAAGGCGTGTGTCACCATTGCTTAACTTGGAGCTGTGGTTCTTAAGTCACAGGCCTGTGCTGGGTGTTCCTGGTTGCCTGAGAGGCCCAGAATTCCTACTGGGACCCTAAGAACTCTCATGGATTTAGGGATCCAGAAGTTCCTAATGTTCGTGAAGTTGAGGGATAATACAGTCTGAACAGCCCTAACATCCATGGGCCCATGGTCACCTAGGTTTCTGCTTAGGTTGTCTGTGCTGGAGAGTGCTGAGGTGGGGGCCAGCCTCAGGCTGGATGTCTGAAAGAGGTCTGGTTTCTGGTTTTCTTCAGGGGTATGTGTACTCAATTCTTTAAACATCTGAAGCCTTTTATCTTTTTCCTCAGAAGAGAAATGCAAGTTTAATGTTTTTTAAGATATATTTATTCTATATTATGTATATGAGTATTTTTCCTACATGTGTGTATATGTACCACATGCATACCTGGTTCACACAGAAGCCAGAAAAGGGCATTGGATCTCCTGAACCTGGAGTTAGGGGTGGTTGTGAGTACTGAAAACCAAACCCACACCTCTTCAAAAGCAGCAAGTGTTCTTAACCACTGTGCCATGTCTCCTGCCCTATAAGATGTTTTAAGTGCTCCGGGGTCTAGGTGGGAGCTTCTTAAAGTTTCAGTACTTGTGAGAAAGAATCCAGATCAACATCAAATTTTAAACTTTGATCACCGCTGGGTATTAAGTTCATGACGCTCAGATTTGGGAGGCAGGGTACAGACAGTGTGAAGGTAAGAATTACGTGGGATTTCTGGAGAAGCTATGAGAAGCAGGCATCAACAATGACTGTAAGGCCACTGCTGTGTGTCCCCGCACAACTCTGGAGGCCAGGAGTCAGGAATCAATTTCTTCCCGTGAAGACTTCAAGGAGAATCCTTCCTTGCTCCTCTCTTGACTTCTGGAGGATCCATTTTACTCCTGACTGGGAGCTGCTCTGTGTACACGTGTTCAGATATCCCTCTTTCATACTTTTGTCAACACTGGGTGAGAGTTTTCCTCGTCCACTGGGGTTTCATTGTGACTACCACACCAACAGTGACCCCACCTGTTTCTAAGGCTGGGGTACGGGGTAGAGCTTGAATGTGTCTTTGCAGTTAGGGTATGACTTCCTGGACTCCTGAGGACCGTGGTGTTCAAATTCAGAACTTGCTGACATCTGTGAGCAGGGAGAGGCAGGTTGTAGCGCCAGTTCTTTACAGAAGGCAGATCCAGAACTTGAGCCACTTAGAATGAAGCCCTGGGGCTTCTTGGTTGTTCCCACAGGGCTGTGCTGAGCACCGTATCCTAGGGACAAACATGTTTCCTTTTTTTAAGCAGGAAACTACTTTGCTTCGCACTTTTTCATGGGAGGCGAGAAATTTGACACCCCGCATCCTGAAGGCTACCTCTTTGGAGAGAACATGGATCTGAACTTCCTGGGCAGTCGTCCGGTCCAGGTGGGTCTCAGCAGGGCTGGTGCTCATGGCTGGGGTGAGTACTGGGACCATCTCGGTTGTGAGGGTGCGTAGGCACCAAGTTTCCCCAGATGGGACAGAGCTGGAAGGGAGCATGTGACTTGGAGTGTGACCTGGGGCTGCCCTGACAGACAGTCAGGATTGGTCACTAAGGGACAGAATAGCCATTATTGAACTAGTGCATCCGGGCTGCACAGAGTTAGCGACTTCATTCTAGGCCTTTTGTATGAGCAGAAAGAACAGACATGTTCTGTCGAATAGTAGAAAGAGCCATGATCCTACTAATTGCCAAGGAAACATATTTAAGTGTATTTGTCCATTCCTTCAGTACCCGTTTGGCAACTGGTATATGTCTAGGGCTCTCGTGTGGGATGAAGACTGAAGTCAGACCCTTTCCCCCATTTTTCAGATAGTGAGGATCATAAAGAAGAAAATAGTAGGCAGTTGAGAGAGAGAAAATAAGAGAGAGAGAGGAAGGGAGAGGGGGAGGGAGGAAGGGAGGGAGGGAGAAGAACAAAGAAAAAGTGAGAGGAAAAGATCCTACTGCTGTTGAGCGTCCACTTTGTTTGTGATAGAGAATATGGACAGTCTCTGTACCTTTACCAAACTTAGTCTCTCCTTTCAAACTCCAGCAGTGTTGCTGGCAGAAGACATAGACAAATACAGCCATAGTTTCTTGTTTCCGGTTACAATATATTTATATAGGGTCATAATTATAAGCATGAACACAGGTACATGTGTTATCTTCCCAAATACTTGGGTTGGTGTTTTATGCAAACTGTCTTTGTGGGCAGTGAGTTGTGACCTTCCATAGGAGAATGCCTGCAGAGCCCAACTGTGACCACTTCTGAGAACACTGGGGAAATAACCAAGTGGCTTGGTGTGGCCAGTCCCTGCCCATATCCTGGCCAAATGGCCAGGGTCTTCTGAGCAGTGTGTCCAGTGTCGGTTCAGCACCTCACATGGGGACCAGAGCCCAGGAGTACCTGTTGGGTCTCCCTTGACTTCCGTCTCCTCGTCTCTGCTGCTGCTTAGAGAGCCATCTATGCTGACTTACATTTTTCTCTCCTAGTTTCCCTATGTCACTCCTGCCCCCCATGAGCCAGTAAAGACCCTGAGGAGCCTGGTGAACATCCGCAAAGACTCCCTCCGACTTGTGAGGTAACTGTTAGTGCTGCCCTCCTGGGGACCCTGTGTGGCCCAGAGGCTCTGCTTGGTCCTTAGGAAGGGGCAGGGATATTGGGAGGGCCTGGTCTCTGTTCTCACATGCAGTCAGACTGTAAACAGGACCCTGAGCCATAAGCTAGAGCTTCTCCCACCCCTTGTGGTTGTGCCTGCTGGGTGCCCCTGCATCTAAAGTGTGGCAGCAGGGAACACGCTCAGTTTCCTGCTGTGCGTAGAGTACGTAAGGTACACTTGGGATGAGTTAGTCTGTTGCCAATAGCATGTGAAATTGCTTTAAACCTAAGCTATCCATACCAAGAACCTTTATTTCTGGGGGCAGTAAAAAAGGGAAGCAGACTAGGATTGTTGTAGGAAGGTCGCTTGTTCATTTTCTGGCTGCCAGACTCCTGAAATATTCACACAGAAACTATATTATTTAAATCACTACTTGGCCAATCACTTAAGCATATTGCTAGCTAGTTCTTAAATCTAGAATTAACCCATTTTCATTATTTTATGTTTTATCACGAGGCTCGTGGCCTACTGGCAAGGTTTCAAATGACAGCTCGCGTCTTTCTTCTCTGACGGCTCCATGGCTTCTCCATGACTCTGCCTTCTTTCTCTGAGGATTCAGTTTAGTTTCCCCGCCTAGCTCTATTCTGCTAAGCCACTGACCGAAACAACTTCTTTATTAACCAGTGGTATTCACAGCATACAGAGGGGAATCCCACATCAATGGATTATAGATCTTGTTGTGCCACAGGGACCAGGCCTCCCTCTACCTTTGCTAGCAAAGCAAACATATCCAAGCAGCTAACTTTATGCCCTGCAGCTGTGTGGGCAGGCCAGTTCTTGGTGCTATGGTTCCTTACCTGCCATCTTCTGCCCACTTTTGGTAGGTACAAAGACGATGCAGACAGCCCTACAGAGGATGGTGAGAAGCCCCGTGTGCTCTACAGTCTGGAATTCACCTTTGATGCCGATGCCCGCGTGGCTATCACCATTTATTGCCAGGCAGTAGAGGAGTTCTTGAACGGCATGGCAGTGTGAGTCCCTTGGTGCGGCACGTTGGGCTTTCTGCAGGCTTTGCAGTGTCTGATGGACTTTCCCCTCCCTGGTGAGGGCAGTGGGCTGACAGGTCCCCAACTCTAGTGGTGGCTTGGTCTTTCTGGTCACCAGCCTCCTCCATGGAGTCCCCTCCTTTGGATAGAGGGATACCCAGCACCCAGAAAACTTGAAAAGATTGGGAGCTCTATGTCAGGAGTTTGGGTGGATACCATATACATGTATTTTGTTGTGTTACAATTACAGATTTGAACTTTTGGAGATTTTCTTTAAAATGAGTCTTGACAGTCCCAGGAGTTTGCAGCCTGCAACCACAGCCTGACCATAGCAGGGGCTGCCTCAGCAGGAAAGCCAGCCCTGGTCTGAGTGGCCTCACAGACGGGCACAAAGTGTCTATGTCCTTGCTGTGATGGAGAGGACTTCGAAAAGGCTCAGATCTAGCCCTGGGGAGTAAGGACTGAGAACGCTAGCTTGGAGTGTTTCTCAGCTCTGTGCCTTCCGATGTGATCAGTACATACAACTGCTTGTTCCTCAGTTTCCTCAGCTGGAAATGAAGGTTTGGGAGTTAGCTCTTACAGTGGTGTTCTTGACCAGCTCCCCATACATCAAAGCTTGCTGCTGGTTGAGAAAAGGTTTCCTTCTAGAACTCAGGACTTGGCCCTGAGCAGCCAACAAACTTCCTCCTGAGTGGCATTGGGCAGTTAGGACATTACTGCCTTTCCACAGTTGGTTCTTTGAGGTTCCACTGTGGCCTACACAGTTACTTAGTTACATTTACTAAGTTGCATAACAGTATTCCAGTGTGTGTACTTATTGTCAGAAGGGAGTGTACAGAGTGGCCAAGACTTGGGGTACGCTCCTAACAGGCTACAGCCTGAGACAACATAACCCACATGGTGTCCTCCCTCCCGGGCCTTTGGTGTGAGGGTAAGTGATAACAGCTCCTGTCTCTGAGCTGGCCTTGGGCACAGCTGCCATACCAGATGAACCCTGGATTCTGGGCAGGTGCCTTGGAGCTGCTCCAGAAGAAATGAGGGCCACAGTTCAGTGGACTCCAACCCAGCCCATCCAGATCAGCCGTTCTCTGTTGTGTCCTGTGAGGTATGTGAGGTATGGTGGCTCCTGCTGCCACCAGATAGACTAGATAGGTGGTCAGCTAGACATGGCTGCTCAGAGATGCATCCTGGTAGACCTTTTCTGAGACCTGCATGAGGCCTGTTTCCCTCCCATTTTGCTAACTTGTATACCACCACCAAATCACCAAGACAGAGAAACAGGAGGCTCCTGGACCCAGCCTGCAGGATTACTGTCCTGAGTTGCAGGCTAGGCAGTCCTTGTTCTTTTCTTGCCCCATAACATCTTGTCATGAAAATTGAAATAGAGTGGTTCTGGGGTTCCACAGCTTATACCTGAAGACCCAGGCTGCTGAGACTCTTATCCTGGACTGACCTTTTTTACTGCATCCAGCCTGGACCTCTCTGTGGGGTTCCCTCCCACACTGGCACTGACAGTAAGGACAGCAGGGATATCCCCCGGCTTCCCAGGCTTTGAATGTGGCCTTTGTCCTAGATACCCAGAGAAGCCCTGGGACAGTAAGCAGGGGTGAGGAGTGGGAATAGGAGTGGGTAATGGCTGTGTTCATGAATGGGGGACATTGGCTCAACTCTTGTTTTCTAGTGATCAGCCTGGGTGTGAGATGAGTTTCTGCATAAATGAAAGGATGGTCCTTGGAGCACTGTGGGGACTAGCAAGGCAGGGAGCTGGCCTGGGTCCCTAGAGCAAAGCTGCAGTAGAGCAGCATGGTGGTTCAGGGAACGCGACACTCATGAAGGTGCAGGATGCCTCAGAACATGACCCAAACATTGAAGCAAAGGCCTCACCCTGTGTGGGCATGCATGGCATTGACTCTTCATGAGCAGTGTCAGGCTGGGACTGCGATGCAGGCAGCTAGGAGCAAGCATTGCCATAGGGAGTTCTGCACTGTGGTCATTCTGAAAAAGTAAATGCACTAAATGCCTCGTAGACATGTTCTTCCCAACCAGAGGGCAGCAGAGGTATTGGACTGGCAGGCATTCTGGAAGAAATGGGCAGGACAGGGCAGCCTCATGGTGAGCAGAGCTGGTAGTGGGAGGTACCTGTAAGAGCCAGGACCACCTGGCCAAATGGGTTGCTTCCTTTTCCTATATGGGAGGATTGAGGCTCTCAATCCCTGTAAAACAAATGGCTGCCCACTCAGCTGGCTATCAGATAAGAAGCAGAAGGAGGTAGGAGGCTGGGTGCAGGAACCCATGGCTCCACAGGAGTCAGGTGGTTGCTTTGCTGCCTTCAGGTACAGCTGTAAGAACCCTTCTCTGCAGTCTGAGACCGTCCACTACAAGAGGGGCGTTAGCCAACAGTTCTCGCTGCCTTCTTTCAAGATCGACTTCTCCGAGTGGAAGGATGATGAGGTAACTGGGGGAGCCCCTACTTTCTCTTATTCCTTCTTTGGTTTTCTGTCTTCTGCCTGGTACGTTATACTGGGTGCCAAGGAGATTCCTCCTGGCCCTGGCAGCCTGGGAATGGCCAGGTTTTTGTCTTGGGTCAGATACGCAGAGGGACTGAAGAGTACGATGTGGGCAAGGCTTAGTGGCCACAGTGTGGTAGTCTGGAGGCTGTAGTGCTGGGTTCTGGAAAGGTGCAGAGAGAGGTTTCCCCATTGTCATTGTCCGCAGGCAGCAGCATGACAGTTTAGCTGCTGTCCCTCACCGTCTTTTCCTTTTGTTTCTGAATCACAGGACACAGCTCTGCGTGTCACAGCACAGGCTTTCCCCACAGGCCTCTTGCCGGTTACAGCTTGATAGCTTCTGCAGTTCTCCCTCCTCCCCGCCCGCCCTTCTTTGCCGTGGTGTCTACTTAGTTCTAGCAGAGTCTTTCTTCTCTGTCCTTACTTCTCAGCAGCCACCTGCAGAGACCCTTGCCTGGGAGCCCCTTTGTGAAACTCCAAGGCTTGGACTGGTCTCTGAATAGAAGAACTTGGATGTGACTCATGCTAGTGGCAACTGCCTGGGCTCCTCCCTGTCCCGACAACCTCTTTCCATATGAGGGTTTCTTTTGTTCTATCTTAAAAATAAATCAGACAGCCAGGTGGTGGTGCATGCCTTTAATTCCAGCACTCGGGAGGCAGAGGCAGGCGGATCCTGTGAATTTGAAGCCAGCCTGGTATATACAGAGTGAGTTCCAGGACAGCCAAGGCTACACAGAGAAACCCTGTCTTGGAAAACCAAGGGGGGGAGGGGGGAGAAAAGAGTACTGCCTCCTCTTGTAGAGGATCTGAGTTCAGATTCCTAGATTCCACTTGCCAGCTCAAGAGTCTGTCAGGCACTCAGCTGCACAAACACACATGCAGGTCAAACAAGCAGCCTCCTCAGGCTCCCCTGGTGGTGGAAGCCAGTCCTCTTCCAGGTCCTCTTCCATTGTCATTCACTTGGCCCAAGGCTTCTCTGTGTGTGCACTACAGTGCACAGCTGTGTGCAGGTTTCAGGAGTGGGAGTCTCTGAGGAGCTGTGATATGTGAAGTGCTCTATAAGCCCTGAGATACCACAGGGAAAGGACAGGACCAGAGTCACTGATCACCCTCCCCAGAATGTTGTTTTCTGTGCTGAGTTCCCCCAGCACAGCTGCAGAGTACAACTGCCTGGAGGCTACTCAGAGTGTAGAGGGCCCCCTACACTCAGGCTTCCTATGAACTTCCAGCCTAGGATGGTGCAGGGCTCTGCTCTTCTGAGCTAGCTCACCTAATACCCAAACAAACAATTCCTGGGTGAGAGCTCCTCTCCTTGGGCCTAGTTTATGGACCTTGTAAAGGCGGCATGCGGCCAGCGTCATCATCACCAGGATCACTCTGGATTGTTCTTCTGTAGGGGTGCAAACTCACAAGAGACCTCATCACAGAGCAAGGTGCTAAAAGTCCCAGTTTGTGGGAATTCTGCACTGGGTAAATGCGCAGAACTTGTCCCCATATTGCTGTTCCATGTGGCCTTGTCCAGCCTGGTGCTGTGACTGCCCTGCATGCCACCTGCTGCTATCCCAGTCTATTGCCTTTATCTTCCTTCGAAGGACCAGAGCAGCTCCTTCCTGCTCACAAGTCTTCCTTGACACTGTAGCCTCAACACAAAAGGAAGTGTGCTGCGTTAAGCATGTTGTCCCAGGCATTGTGCTCAGCCTTGCACTAAGACTGGAGATGAGAAACAGGCTCAGGTTGAGGCTTGTTCACAGTGAATGAGCAGAGAATTCTATTGGAAGCCAGCAGTCCTGAGTGTAGCTCCTTTCCTGCACCATAACCATAGGACATGCCATAACCAAGGACATGAGTTTTTTTTTTTTCTTTTTTTGTGCATGTGTGTGGGGGTGTTGAGACAGAATTTCTCTGCATAAAAGTTCTGGCTGTCTTGGAACTTACTCTGTAGACCAGGTGTGCCTCGAACTCAGATCTGCCTGCCGCTGCCTCCCGAGTGCTGGGATTAAAGGTGTACAACACTACTGCCAGGCACCATTGTAACTTTTAAAGAAAGCATTTAATTGGGGGCTTGCTTGCTTTTCAGCAGGTTAGTCTTTGCCCATCGTGGTGGGGAGTGCAGTGGCAGGCAGGCATGACACTGGGGCAGTAGCTGAGAGTTAACATCTTACCAGAAGTTTCAAGCAGGGAGGGTATGGACTTTTTAAACCTCAAAGCCCATTACCCAGTGACATACCTCCTCCAACAGGCCACACCTCCTATTCCTTCCCAAAGGGTTTCACTAGTGGGACCAAGTATTCGACTCTATGAACCTATAAACCTGTGTGTGGGTGTGGGTGTTCTCGTTCAAATAACCATACCGTCCTGAAAGTTTTTTGTGGTGTTTTGACTCCTTTTTCATCCATATTTTCAGTAGGAAATTCCCTGTGTTCAGAGTTTTTTTTTTTGAGACAGGGTCTCTCTGTAGCCCTGGCTGTCCTATAACTTGCTCTGTAGACCAGGTTGGCCTCAAACCCTCAGAGATCCAACCGCTTTTGTTCCGAGTGCTGGAATCAAAAGTGTGTGCTTAGAGCATGCACACACACCCCTCAAGCCCGGGCTGTGTGGAAAAACTTTTCCTGTTTTATAAACAGCACCAACATCCACAGCCAGCAGTGTCCAGAGCTGGCCTAGGGGAGGATTTCCATGGGAGAAGTCAGTGTCACTGGTGTGGTAGCCCTGGGTTTAGGTGGAGATGGGTGCCCAAGCTTGTTCCTGCTACTCACTCCACAAGGGACAGCTTTTCTGATGAAAAGAGGTAGGCCTTTCTGTCCTGAGCTCCAGGCTGGTCTGGCCTGACCTTGAGGGAGAAGGGAGCTCTGTGTCTGCTGAGAGTTGTGCCTCTGGCTAGTGAGTCCCTGTTCACGACTGTGTGCTTAGTCATCAGCCCAGGACTCTAGGGCACAGACAGAAGCAGCTCTGCTTCAGGCTACAGTCTGCTTGTGAGGAGAGGGCGTTGTCCTTGGCCCTGATGAACTGGGCCTAGGCTGTGCTTTGTCCTGGCCCTTTCTCTAGTTGCTTCACTTGCTTGTTCTGTGATTGGTTTTGCTTTTAACTTAGCTGTGCTGTGATCCCCGTGCCACAGCTTACTCATACTCAGGATTCCATGCTTTTTAGTTATGTTCACAGTTTACAAGGTTTTTTTTTTTTAATTCTGTTTTTTTTTTCTTTTGTTTTGGTTTGTTTGTTGAGACAGGGTCAAATGTGTAGCTCTGACTGGCCTAGAACTCACTCTACAGACCAGGTTAACCTTGAACTCACAGAGATCCTCCCACCTGGGATTAATGGTGTCTACCACCATTGTTTGAGACAGGGCCTCACTGCTGAACTTACTGCCCTCTGCCTCCTGAGTAGTGGGATTACAGCTGTGCACTGTCACATCTGGCCCATCGACTTTTCCTTGAGTAACTCCTTAGTGAGAACAATGGAAATGTCTGCTGCTTTCCTGAGATACCAGGAGAGTTCTGGAGACTGCGTAGGCTGGATTAGGCTGGATTTTGTCCTCTACAGCTTCTGTCTATCAGGGAGTTGGGGACAAAGGACAACCTAGTCACAGAAAGAAACAGGAGCTGAGAATATTTACAGGGAGTAGCCCACAAATGTGGATCAGGTGAATCCCAGAGTACTCCTCTGCTAGCAGGGTGCAGGGTATGAGGGCCAGGGGCGTGGGTGAGGATGGTACCAGTTTTGGGGTTTCTAGTTCAGTGGAGGGGGCAGCTGCTATCTTGAGAAAGGGAAGGATGAACCAAGTGGTCTCAGTCTGATTCTCTTTGGTGGGATTTAAGCCAAATGCCTTTTATCAAACAATTGCATAGCTAAATTTAAACCAAAACTTGGAGCTATGTCTCCAGGGGTCTGGATCACAGAGACTAAACAGATACATGGTAGCATTGTTCACAGTGGTCACAATATAGATGCAGCCCACGGATCAACTGGTGAGTGGGCAAACAATATGGCTTCCCCACCCCCTAGAATGACTGTGCAGCCATAAAAAGGAATGGGATTCTAACTGAACTTGGAAAGCATGCCCAGTGAAGAAAAATCTAGTTACAAAAAGATAGACACTAAGTGATCCATTATAGCAACTGTCCAGAGCAGGCACCCCCACAGCTAGGGAAGGCAGGTGAGGGTTGTCAAGGACTGAGAGGAGGGAATGCGGAGTGTCTGTTTGGAGAGCCGTCAGGAACTGTACAGCCTATGTGACTTAATGTCACCGTGTCCTTGGTTCCATCTGCTCGCTCCAGTTCAGGTTGACTAATTCACTACTTGACGTCCATGAGTCTGAGTCTGACCATTTTTGCCTCCTTTTGTCAGCTGAACTTTGACCTGGATCGGGGTGTGTTTCCAGTCGTCATACAGGCTGTGGTGGACGAAGGAGATGGTGAGCATTGTTGGTCTTTCCTCCTCCTCTACTAGTGTGTGGGACCGGTGGGGGAGGAAGTGGGCTCCTTCTCCATGCGTCATCAAAAGGCCTCTTTTGGAAATGGAAGGTGTCCACCACACCCCACAGAGACGCTTGTGAAGGTGGCATTGCCATGTGGACATCTTCAGAAGAGAAGGGTGAGGTGAGATGAGGGCAAGACAGGAGTGGACTCTTGGCTCTGCCCCTGGTTGTGACTCCTAGAAGTCATGCCTGCAGGGGACGGGCAAGAGTCCCAGTCATGACCTCACTGTGGCCTCTCTTCTCTTGTCTTTCCTTGCTTCAGTTGTGGAAGTGGCTGGACATGCTCATGTGCTCTTGGCTGCCTTTGAGAAGGTAAGGGCCGTCCTGGCCACCACCCTGTAGCCTGGAAGCTGGGGCAGTGTGTGGCCTGAGTATGGGGGTCCAAGCTTGGTGCAGGGATTAAATGACAGATTCTTAGTTCCTAAGACTGACCATCCTCTAAGAGTTTTTAGAGTCACAGTGAGGTAGAATGTTCTAGATTGAAGCCAACCCTGTAGGACCCCTAAGAACTCACCAGCACAAGCTAGGATGCCTACATAGAGACCCATGCCACAGACTAACTTTCCCTCTTCCCGCCACCACCTCCACCAGGTTGAGTATCCTCAGGTGCCACCCAGCACTGGCCTTGCCTGGTATGTGTGTCTGCCTCACTTATGATCTGTTCCGTTTTGCCCTCCTGCTGGCTGCAGCTTGCGGTCCAGATAGTGCTGGGTGGGCTTCCTCCCCACGGGAGGCCTTTCCTGACCCTCTGAGCCGTTGTTTACTGTTCTTACTTGTGCCAGGGCTGGAGTGGCCTCTTGTTTGTCATCTCAGAGCTGGCATGGTACCTGATTTGCAGTGTAGATGCTCAGTGAACAGTGGTAGGGTGGATGAGAATCTGCCACCTGCTGGTGCATCCCCAGGCACGCATACATACATACATACATACATACACACACACATATGTATATTCACACACACATACATATCAAATCAAAGACCCAGATATTAATCCACACACCTTTGACCACCTGATTTTTGACAAAGAAGCAAAAAATATCAAATGGAAAAAAGAAACATATTTAACAAATGGTGCTGGCACAACTGGATATCAACCTGTAGAAGAATGAAAATAGATCCATATCTATCACCATGCACAAAACTCAAGTTCAAATGGATCAAAGACCTCAACATAAATCCATCCACACTGAACCTTATAGAAGAGAAAGTGGGAAGTAGCCTTGAATGCATTGCCACAGGAGACCACTTCCTAAATATAACTCCAGCAGCACAGACACTGAGAGAAACAATTAATAAATGAGACCTCCTGAAACTGAAAGGCTTCTGTAAAGCAAAGGACACGGTCAACAAGACAAAACGAGAGCCTACAGAATGGGAAAAGATCTTCATTAACCCTGCATCAGGGTTAATAGGTGATAGGCGAATGGCCTATCACCAACAGACATTCCATTTAGTCCTTGCAGTTTAGAGCTCAGTGAAGAACGGCTTGTTTTTGTAGTACCACATTCTAGAAATTTCCATAAGTGCCCGTCAACTTTACTGGGCAATCCTGAGTGCTGATCTTGGTTGACTCAAAGTATAATAACATTAATTATTACAAAAAATATTCAGCTCTAAAGACAGGCATGGTGACACATGTCTTTAATCCCAGCACTTGGGAGGTAGAGGTAGGCAGATCTCTGTGAGTTCGAGGCCAGTCTGATCTACAAGAGCTAGATCTAGGACAGACTCCAAAGCTACACAGAGAAATTCTGTCTTGAAAATAAAACACAAGCCGGGTGGTGGTGGCGTATGCCTTTAATCCCAGCACTCAGGAGGCAGAGGCAGGCGAATCTCTGTGAGTTCGAGGCCAGCCCGGTCTACAAGAGCTAGTTCTAGGACAGGCTCTAAAGCTACAGAGAAACCTTGTCTCTAAAAAACCAATAAATAAATTAAATAAATAAATAAAGCAAGCACATACACAAAAACAAAAACAAAAAAAATCTCAACTCTAATACCTTAATAAACCTTTCCAGTTCTAAATAGTCTGTTTCCGTGGATATCATAAACATATTGTGGTTCTATTCCATTTTGTTCTTACATTTTAGTTCTGAGTGTGTGCTTGTGTCCTCTTCCAGATTGAGCCAAACCCAAGAACTCTTGTTTATTCACTCTTGCTCTATAAATACTGCTTCTGGGTAATGGAATTGGCTAGCCAGAATCAGAGTGTGGCTGAGTGGCTTCAGTTTATGCATGCTGGAGACCACACAGGATAGTTGTGTTCTGCAGGAGTGTTTGAAGAAGGTGCTGCAGGTTCTGTAGAAGGCAGGCATGAGGCCATGGGTGCAGACATTGTGGCCTGGCTCTTCATCTTCACCTTTTTCTTATTTTCAGCCATGAATGTAGGTTCCTTCACCTGGCTGGGCAAGAGTGCTGGGAGGGACCAATTTGAGATTAACTGTCTTTCTTCCCTGCAGCACGTGGATGGCAGCTTCTCTGTGAAGCCGTTAAAGCAGAAGCAAATTGTAAGTGCCAGACATCATGGGCCCTTGGACTGCAGAAAGCACACACATAATGTGTGAACACATGCTCAGACTCCATGGGCTGTTCTTTCTGGTCATGCAGGAGCTGCCTGCCTGAGTCTGCCCTGTTGTGCTCTGGGATAATGGGGTCTGTGTTTTGAGTGCATGGGTTGTATAGCTACCCTGTGGTACAGCAACCAGTGCAGGTCCCTCTAACCTGCCCAGTTTGAACCATGGTGCATGGAATGCAGTTACTTCATCCAGTTAGTATTTGCTAAATGAGTGGGCAGAGGAGGTTAGGAATGACAGGAAACAGAAATGTGGCAGCCGTCTCTTGCTTATACAAATTCCTGGAAATAAAGCAGCTCTAGGTGAAGACTCAGTTGACTCTTTCAGCACCGGAGATGGGGAGGAATCCCAGGTACAGGGAGACTGGGAAAACTTCTCTTGGAAATCACACATTCCGTGATCCTACATAGAGCAGTTACTCCTGGTGGCCTACTTGAGCGAAATAAGAATTTAGTGGGATGCCTTCCTAGAACCATTTGAGACCTTGATCATGAGACTGATTGTCAGGCAGGAGTCTGTGTTCCAAGGCCATGATGAGTAATTGTCTTGTGTGAAACTACCCAAGTGCTAGAGATCTGTTTAAAGTTAGTGTAGGGGATAGTTTGTTAACCTTTAAAGGATGGATAGAGTGAACCCTGGCAGGTTAGACCTGGTGATACACACCAGTGGGGGTTGGGCACTTGTTTCCTAACAGCCAGCTGCCAGGATCCTGGCTTTCTGGGTGGGTGCTGTGGCCCATGGGACTTTAGAAACAATTAACTTAGGGCACTTGAGGACTGGACAGCATGGGGCCTTTTGGTCAGAACTAACTGGTTAGATACAGCTTTCATGTCTTGTGGAAAGCATAGTCACATGACTTGCTATCTGCTACCTACAGACAGCAGCTCTGACCCTCTTGTGGGTGACAGAATGTGGCCAAACTGCTTTTTCCTCTGGTAATGGCGATAATTGTGGGCAGCTTGGGACCTGGCCTTTTGGGATGTATGGATGGGGGACCATTGATTTCATTCCTTGCTCCCTTTGTTGTTTGCTGAGCTTGGCACAGGACAGGGTTTCCTGCCTCTTTTTCCTGGCATTTGCCCTTCCCCAGGAGGAGGAATTCAACAGGTACCACAGACCTTCAGCCACACTTTCCCTGGGACCTGCGACTCTGGAGGTGGTCTACGTGCAGGGAAGCCCACTAGTGGAGACTGACCAAACCCTAGCACATCTTTCTGCTTTCTAGGTGGACCGTGTCAGCTACTTGTTGCAGGAGATCTACGGCATCGAGAATAAGAACAACCAGGAGACCAAGGTGTGTCCTTGTGGGCAGCTAACTGGACTCTAGGCTGGCAGTATGCCTCTGGTTTCTATCTGCCTTTTAGAGGGCACATCATTGGTGATGTGCTGGGATTTTTCAGGCCTGACCCAGGGCCCACAAGGTTTGATGGGAAAAATGCCTTTCCCTGGAGGTCCAGAACCCAGACTCCATCATTTCCCTTAGTCTCTGTTTAGTGGTTAAGCAGCCAGGCTTCTGTGTGTCTGACTGACTACCCGAGAAACAGCAATTCCAACAAGAATGATTTATTTCAGCTCACAGTTTTACAAGTGTCAGTCCATGGCAGGGAAAGTGAGGTGGAGCAAAGTAGCTCATGTCATGGCAGCTAGGAAGCAGAAGAGACAGGAAGGGCTAGACTCAAGCTACCTGCCCCAAAGAACCTGCCATTAGTGACCTACTTCTCCAGGTAGGTCCCCTTTCCCAGAGTTCCTGGAACCTCCTTTAACAGCTGGGTTTCAGAGCCTCCAACCCATAAGTCGTTTACAGGGACGCTTCATTACCCCAACCACAGCAGAAGACAACAGTTTTGAAATGTTTTCTCCTCTCCCCGGCAAGTTGACCAGCATCTTGTTAAATCACTAAATTGTCAGATTGTATTTTTTTTGGCTTTGTGAGCCATTTGTCATATATTTGTTTTTTCAAGACTGCTTCTCCCTCACTGTGTAGCCCTGGCCCTGGAACTCACTCTGTAGACCAGGCTGGCCTCAAGCTCAAAGAAATCCACCTGCTTCTGCCTCCCAATTGCTAGGATTAAAGGTGTGCACCACTGTGCCGCGTTAGCCATCACTGGTTTCTATGGCAGCTACTTGGTGCTACATCCATAGCTCAGAAGTAGCCCCAGAAGGTGCAAAGATAGTTAACTGTGGCAGTGTTCTAATAAACAAGCAGGTTCGGTCAACCCAGTTATGTTTAAGGCATTTGCTCATTCACTTTTCAGGTCCTGGTGTGGTTTCTGAAAGCTCATATAATGAAAGTATTTCCAAGTTAGAGCTGCTCCATGATTTTGGCTGAACAGACAGTCCCGGCTGTTGTAAAGACGTGTTTCAGTGCTGTCCCTCCTTTCTCTGCTCCTAATAGCAGAGTCATCATGTTTGCGGTTGGGAGACAAGGGTTCTTCCCCTCCACGTGAGCCTGGTGCTTCCGCCTTGGTGTTTGCTCTGCTGTGCCCTTGACACCTCCTACTCCCTTTGCCACACAGTCCCTGGGGATGGTGCCACACGGAAACACAGGAGGGCCTGCTCCAGGCAGCATCAGGCCCACCTTCAGGCTGTTATGAAGCCACTGACGCACAGGCCCTTGTCTCCACAGCCTTCCGATGACGAGAACAGTGACAACAGCAGTGAGTGTGTGGTGTGCCTGTCAGACCTGCGGGACACGCTGATCCTGCCCTGCCGCCACCTGTGCCTTTGCACTTCCTGTGCTGACACGCTGCGGTACCAGGCCAACAACTGCCCCATCTGCCGGCTGCGTGAGCATTACCCGGGGCCCTGTTGTGAAAGATGCAGGAGAATTGGGGCTGCCCATTCCAGCCAGTCTGGGGACCACCACTCCCTATTGCACAAGAAATAGAAACTTCACGAGTTTTTCATGCAAGGCATGATGTTGATCCTTCTGCCTCCAGGACAGGGAAAGCTAGAAGACACGGAAGTGCTCCAAGGCAGATTCAGCTCTGAACAAAATCTATTTTGTTTCTATTTCCAACAATAGAAATCAATTTTGTTTCTATTTTCCTTGGAAAATCTATTTCCAAGGTTTCGTAGGAACTATTTTTGAAAATCTATTTCTTACAATCTATTTCTTACAATGAGTCAAAAGCAGAAAATTGTGTTGGGTGGTGGTCAGGTTGTCTGCCAACATTGTGGACTCTGAGGAAACTCACCCAAGCTCATGGCTTCTTCATTCAGAAATAGTAGGGTTTTGGCTACTGCTCTTGATCCCATTGTCTGGATGCAGCCCATCATAGTCATTGTCCCCTAAGAGTTGGATGTGTGTCCATCTAGTGTGTAAGTTTGCACTGTGGCAGTTCCATTGGGTCACAGGACAGGTTGCATATACAGACAAGGACAATATAGTACCTAGTCTGGGTTTCTGTGTCCAGGGGAGACCTAGCCTAGGTAGGACAGGGACAGGATAGGTGGGACTGGCTTGGGCAGTTCATAGCTCTTTTTTCAAGGGAAGTAGACAGTGTTCCAGCCTAGATTTCTGCAGATTTGGTGCCCACTTGTGACAGAGGAGAGGTCCTTTTCTTTCCTAGGTGGTCCCCAGTGAACAGGGTGACCAGGACCTGCATCTTTCTGGAACAATCCTTTCAGCACTACCCCATTGTGAACCTACCGTCCTGAATACACAGCTGCTTAGAGTATCCCAAGACCTCACTGCAGGCCTCAGCCTGGGCGAATTTTCACTGCTAGTGAAGCTGAGCACCTCTACCCAGTTTTTCCTGGCCTCCTGGAGTAGTCTGGGAGTGTTGGTGGAATTCAGAAGTCAGACAGGCTGGAGCAAGTATGTGCCCTAGGCTAGACTGCATATACAGAGCCATGACTTCAGTTCCACTTCTCAGTGGGTAGCCTTCCTCACCTAGCTGCTATGTATCCAAATATGAATGGTTGTGGAGACGTCAGGCTGTTGTAGGAACCCCAGATGAACAGGGCATACAGGCTGTGTGTGGGATTTATTTGGCTTTTGCTGTTTTTTTGAGACAGGGTTTCTTTGTGTAGCTTTGGAGCCTGCCCTGGAACTCACTTTGTAGACCAAGCTGGCCTCGAACTCACAGATATACGCCTGCCTCTGCCTCCCTAGTGCTGGGATTAAAGGTGAGAGCTACCACCGCCCAGCTAGCTATGTGTTTTTGTGTCCAGTGCTAGAAGCAGATGGGAAGCTGCAGAACAAGCCGTAAAAGTGATGGGATATGGTCAGGATAGCCGCTTTGTGTGAGGCTGAGGTTGGAAGACTGGGAAGAAAGGGCTCTGGTGTAGGTCCTAGAAGGTACCAGAACTTACTGCAGGAACCATGACCTGCCACTGGGCCTCTGAAATCTTCATGTGTGCCATGACTTCAAGTTGGGGTCCTCAAATAGGAGGTGGAGATGGGAGCTTCCCATCACAGACCAAGGTGTCACTGGCCTGTCCTTCAGAGAGAGTGGGAATTGTACTGAAAAATGTAGGTGTGGTTAGAAGTGCCAGTGTTCTGTGCCTGCTGATTCCTCAGGGTGCAGGTTGAATTGATCCTGACTTGTGGCACATTTGTCACAGGTTCATGGCTTCACCTCCACTCACTGTGTCTTAGGAATGCAGCCTTGTTTCCTGCTGGGCCACTCTTGTGGGTAGAACTGGCACTAGGAGATGACCTCTGTCCTAATTTGTCCTTTCTGCTGTATAACTGGTGATGCCATTTGTCTCTGTGATAGACATTGCACTTCCCTGCTCCTGTTCTGCCTCCTAAAGAACTCACAGATCTCTGTGGTTCCGTGGGTGGTTTCCGCAGCCGCTGTGACTTAAGCAGAGGTCCTTAAACAGCTGTTGATCTTTAGCTGCCCACCCTAGAAACTGCCCAGGACTCCATCTGCTAAGGATCCCCTCCGCCTCTGATTTGGAAACATACTCCTTGTTCCTGGGCACTGTGAGTGGCAGTGGCCACAGTCTAGACTGTCCATCCATGCCTCTGAAGACTCTGTCCTTGTTCAGATGTCTCTCTTTCTTTCTGCTACAGCATTCCGAGCCCTCCTGCAGATCCGGGCTGTTCGGAAGAAGCCAGGGGCCCTGTCTCCCATCTCCTTCAGCCCTGTTTTGGCCCAGAGTGTGGACCATGATGAGCACTCTGTAAGTGCCTTTCCTCCTCCTTCAACTTGCCTGCTAGGCAGGCATGGCTCCCACAGCAGCCTATGAGGTATTAATCAGGGACCAGGCTCTGCTGGCAAGGGTGGGACCTCTGAACTGAATGTGTGCCAGCATTTCCACTGTTGCTTTAGGCGACACTGTCTGGAGGGCACCTATATGTTGCTGCCTGTGGGCTGGCTTCAGCCTCAGTCTGGAGGCTCTCTCTGTAGACCCACTGCCTAGGTAGATTTTGCTTCAGGCAGACCAGAAAGGTCTTGTCAATTAAAGGATGTAAAGAGCAGGACATAAATGAAGAGATAAGACTTAGACAGAAGTGCTCAGAGAGAGGGAGAGATGCCTAGAAATGGGTGGAAGTCTGCATAAAAAGCTGAGGCAGTTGGAGAACAAGAGAGAGCCCAGTTTGGGCCAAGGCCTTCTTGGGTTCCCATATGTATCTGTTGCAGGGAACACAGACTTTTGAAGGTCTTGCCTCCACTTTAAGAGGAAAGAGCAATAAGCCCTGTGACCTGGACATCCAGGGGGCATAGCCTTTGTTCCTGGAAGTCCTCCTTTATTTATTTACAATTAGCAAGTTCCCCAGATGCGATGTTCTCTCGCAGTAGATTTCTGAAAACTGGGCCAACACTTTTGTTTGATTTGTCTTTCTGAGACAGGGTTTCTCTATGTAGTCCTGAATGTACTGGAACTTACTCTGTGGACCAGGATGGCCTCGAACTCATGGGTTCGCCTGTCTCTGGTTGCTGAGTGCTGGGATTAAAGGCGTGTGCCACTGTAACTGCCTTTACATCAACATTTAAAAGCCTAAAAGGGACCCATGAAATACAGATTTTTGCCTTTTCTTTCAAAACCTGAGGCTGTGCTCAGGCACCTAGACTCGAAGTGTAGAATCCCCGCTCCGGTGGGTCGTCCCCCGCCACGCACACAAGGGCTACTGAAACACCTCTGCCTTCTAGCTTACTAGAAGGACACTCGCCAACCATTGCTTGCTGGCTGCAGGAGAGATGGCCTGAGGTGGGCATGCCCAGTGAAAGAGGGGATCCGAGTGTCGCTGAGAGACCCCGCTAGTGCTCGGCAGTGCTGGGCTTGTTGTTGCTTTTGTCCTGGTGGTTGAGGGTCAGATAGGTCCCTTCCTGTTGGCCCTCTTATCCTGAGTGAGTCAGTTACTGGGTAGGTGTAATCTTGATTTGTAATTAGCCAACAGCTCTAATCTACCTGGGAACCACCTGCCTTTTGCAGGGTTCGAAGTACCTAAGTTGTTAGTGGGTTCTTGTTCTCTGCCACCTGCCCTGTGAAGTGCCCAAATGTGGCCTCCAGAGACTCTTTAAGGTAATGGTGAGCCTGAGAGCCTCGCCACTCTCATGGCACCTTGGCTGGGACCTCTTGCTCTGGGGAGACCCAGACCATGAGTAGGTTAGGTTGAGGTTAGGGTCCTCTCTGAGTGGCCACACTAAGGGCTCCCAGGAACTGGTTATTTATGTGCAGGCAGCCTGTGCAGGGCCCTGATGGAGAATTCTTCTTGTGTTGAGTGTGGTCTCAAGGTCAGCTATAGTTATAGAATTCCTGGGCGTGCATGGAGGGCAGTAAACCAGAGGCCCGCCTCGCCCCACCAATCCCCATGCCATGTGGAGGTAAAAGTTGTAAAACATGTGATTTTTATTTTGACAGTGTCCCTTTAAAAAATCAAAGTCGCACCCTGCCTCCCTGGCCAGCAAGAAACCTAAAAGGGAAACAGTAAGTGTGTTTGGTCGTATAGCTCTCTTTTTGCCCCAGACCCTGTTTTTGAAACCAACAAGTGTGGGAGGTCATTTTAACCCCAGCTACTATGTTTAACACACTTTGTCAAATCCGCTCTCCTAGTCCCGGTGCCCCTGCCCAGGAAGGGAGTTTTGTGGACCAAGCAAAGCTGAAGGTCTGTTGGCGCAAAGCCAGTTCTTTGGTGCTGGTGCCAGGTGGTAGCCAACCTCAGGCACTGCCGTTCTCGCCAGCTTTGCTCGCCGTGGCTTCTGAGTGCCCTGTTTCCCTTTTTTTTCTTGCTGGCAGTGGAATGGATGTTGAAGGTGGAACTGATATCGCTGCTCCTTTTTGCACATGGCACCCCCCTCCCCCCGCATGCTTGTTCGTCTTGCACCCCTGGCTGGCTGTCCCTTGAAGTTTGACTCTTTGGGCCAAGGACTCTGGTTTTCTGACATTTTCCCTGCACCCCCGGGATCAGACAGGGAGATCAAAAGTCAGGTAGCAGCCGGGCTGGACCTCTTCTGGAGTTTTGCTGGCCTGGCGAGAGCCTGTTGAAAGCTAGTGTAACTAGTGTAACTGAGGGAAGGAGCTTGGCAAGCAGCTGAGTCTGTCCTTTGCAGAGGGTGTGGGGCTGGGGGCGATTGTTCATCTTTAAGGTGAAGGCATGTGGGAATAGGTGAAAGTTAGCCAGAGAACTAAGACCTACCACTAGTCTGGTGCATACCACATTCCCTAGGGGTGCCGCCCCATCCTGTTATCCACTGCGCCAGGGCGGGCAGGCCAGAGCTTCCTATAGGAAGCACTTAGGAGCCCTGCTCCTTTAACTTGGTTTGTGAGAGCCTATGGGAGCAATACAGCACAATCCTTCTACAGCACTCCATGGCCTGACTGTTCTCTGGAAGCTGGGCACGTTCCTTCTCCCTTACCCCTGCCAAATCCATCTATTCCTAATGAGGGGCTATGGTAGCCACACTCCTACTGACACCCTGCTTGGGGTCCCCGGAGGCCGCACTTCCCCTGGTCCAGGGCAGCACTGGCGATGTTCTCCTGCCTCTGGCATGGCTCTGCTCTGCCTGCTCCTGAGTTCTCCCGCTGTCACTAACCCCTCACACTTTTCCTCCTGCAAGCTGGGGACAGCAGCTGTGTGACGGCTTGGCAATGATGGGCCTTGCTGATCATCTGGGGGTTGGGGTGTGTGCTGCTGCTGGTGGCCGAGGGACTCCTCAACAGGATAGTTTCCACTTTGCAAGGTAGCTTTTGATAGGGATTGGGGCTTAAGTCCCTGGAAGGTGGCATGAACAAGACACAGTCAGCAAAGCAGGTCTGGGGGGGGGGAGAATGTTCCATTTCTGGGGCTTCATGGCTGTGGGCAAGAAGCCTGGCTGGGCCCTCCTCATTGGCTTTGTCCCCACAGAATTCTGACAGCGTCCCACCTGGCTATGAGCCCATCTCCTTACTCGAGGCACTCAATGGTCGACGGGCTGTCTCCCCGGCCATCCCATCAGCTCCCCTCTATGAGGAAGTCACCTACTCAGGCATCTCGGATGGTCTGTCCCAGGCCAGCTGTCCTCTCGCTGGACTTGATCGGATCATAGAAAGCGGCCTACAGAAGGGCAAGCCACAGAGTAAATCTCCGGACAGGTGAGGCCGGTGCCCAGTCTGCCTCGGTGAGGTGTGTCATCACATTGAGTGAAAGGGTGTTTTCCGCTGGCGGTGCGACTGCTTATGTGTGCGTGTCAGACTGGCGAGGTTTATTGGTGGTCTTACAGAACTTCATGACGCATGAAGTTTTGTTTCTTGATCACTGGGACTCAAAATATCCAGCAACAGGTCAGACCCTTCTCTAGTTGATGACAGCCAGCAACACTGAGCCGAAAAGTTTATCAGGAACGGTGCTGGGCTGAGGCTCCTAGTGCCCCCAAGACATCAGCTTGCTTGCTGTCAGTAAATTGTACAGGCCTGTGCCATGTACCTGCCCAGGAGCTGACCTAGGAATTTTTGGTCACTGGTCACATAAGCGTGTCTCACAAGGAGCCAGCAGTGACAGCTGAAACTGGGACACTGAAGTGTGAAGCAGGTATACCTGTGTCTTAGGTTACTGTTGTGCGGTGAAACACCATGACCAAAAGCAAGATGGGGAGAAAAGGGTTTATTTGACTTACACTTCTACATCTTAACTGCATCAATTCAAACAGGGCAGAACCTGGAGGCAGGAGCTGATGCAGAGGCCATGGAGGAGTGATGCTTACTGGCTTATTCTTTGTGGCTTGCTCATCCCGCTTTCTTACAGAACCCAGGACCACCAGTCCGGGGTGGCACCTCCTGCAATGAAAAACATTCTGAACAGGCTTGCCTACAGCCCAGTCTGTGGGGACATTTTTAAAATTTACGTTCTCTGCTCTCAGATCACTTTAGTCTGTACCAAGTTGACATAAAACTAGCCAGCACACCTTGCTGCTACCGACACCTGTGTCTGCTGAGCCGAATGTGTGCTCCCTTTCCAGGTTTTGAGCAGTGGCTCTTCCCATGCCTTGTGTACGTGTTTGTGTTGGCTTTCTATTCAGCTGGTTGTAACCGTTTTCATTAGAGCACAAGAACTTAAATGGGTATTTTTGCTAGGTTGTCCTCTTTTTTTTTTAACTGTTAATATTATTTTTAGTTAGCATACAAAATAGTGGTAATCATTATGACATTTTTATACATCTGTATCATTACTGTGCTGACAAACCTCCCACACAGCCTATACTGGCTTGTTTCCTCTTCCTAGATAGTCTCATTGTATATAAATCTTATTACCTTATATTGCCGCTGCCCCTTTTTGGCCACTTCTTCCCCATATAGTTCCCTTCTGCTTTCATGTCTTGCATGTTAATATATTTATTTTAAAATCTCAGTTTTGCATATGAGAGAATCTGAGTCTGACTCATTTTCTTTAATATAATCTCTAGTTTCATCAATTTCCTGCAGATGACATAAAAGAAATATATGTAAACAAGCTAAAATAAATTATATGTGTGTATTATATAAACAAACTAAATAATATAAATTATTAAATAATAATAATATATATTATTTAGTTTGTTTATATAAGACTGGGTTTCTCTGTGTATCCTTGGATGTCCTAGACCTAGCTCTGTAGTCTCTACCTCCTGAGTGCTGGGATTAAAGGCACGTGCCACCGTGCCTGTCAGTTTTATTATTCTTGGTTCTTCTGAGATACTCTCATGCAACCTCGACTGCCTGACCTAGAAGACCTGATCCTCCTGCTTCTACCTCCTTAGTGCTGGGATTATAGACATATGTCACCACTATGAGCTATGTTTCTTTTGCAAACTTCAATTCGTTTAAGGACTGGATGATTTGGTGCTTGGAGTACAACTTTTTGTACTTTTATCTGCCCTAGTTATTAATCTGTCAGAGTTGGGTTTTGTGTATCTGGTTATTTCTGGAGTTTGTCCGAGGGCCGTGTGCATGCCAGCCCAGTGCTCTGCTGCAGAGCTACAGTTTCATCTTGGGCACCACAAGGGTCCTCTCTAGTAGCATGTTCCTCAGGCTGGCCAAGAGTCAGGCTTGCTCACTTGGAGAGTAGCATAGAGAGTCAGGCTGGCCAGACTGGCTGTGCTGACTTCCTTAAGGAGAAAGGTATGTGTTCTGCAAGCTGCCCAGGCCCTGTACCGTGAATACATGGCAGAACAACTCCAGAGACACACAGTCTTGCCTGGGCTCAGTTTGTCCTTCTAGTGTCAGGCTGTTAGGCCTGTGCTGGTGTCTGTGGGGGTGGGAGGTTGTTGGGCAGGTCCACTTCTCTGGTTGTTCAGGCCTGTGCTGAAGTTCACCTCTCCTTGGGGAGCCACTGTTGGTCAGGTCTGTGTTTTTGAATCTGTGCAGAGATGCCACCTCTCCCCCAAAGACCTCTTTCACAGGTCTCCAGGTATGTATATGCAAGGCTCCTGGCCCAGTGTGGCTTTGGCAGGATTATGTTCCCAATTTAGCCGTTCTACAGCACTACCTCCTTCCTCTCCAGCACCCTGCGATCTCCATCATCCCCCATCCACGAGGAGGATGAGGAGAAGCTTTCAGAGGACTCGGATGCTCCTCTCCCACCGAGCGGTGTGGAACTTGCGCTGCGGGAAAGCAGCTCCCCTGAGGTGAGGCCCTGGCTGGTCCCGAGCCCTTACTTGTTCTCTAAGCACTGCCACAATGTGATGTCACAGCAGACAAGTCAGTATCCTTGACTATGGGCTGGGTGCCCTGTGGAGGAGTCACTTTGAGAGCTTATAAGCGAAACCACATGTGAAGCCCAGCCTCCAGTGACATCCTTGTGTCCTGGGTGGCAGCTGCTTTCCACTGCCCTTAGCCTAGTCTCAAGAATTTGACCCCTTTGACCTGAGGATGTTTGCACAAGTGCCTTTTCTCTTTGTCTCCTAGAGTTTCGGAACAGAGGAGGTGGATGAGCCGTCCCTAAAGCAAGGTGAGCCCCTTCTCCTAGGTCTGTCCCCACACCCTTGGTAAGCTTTGGGTCCTGGCTAGGGGCAGTCTCCTGCCCCAGCTCTTGCCTTCAGGTACATGAAGTCAGTGTGCAGGGGTGGTGGTAAGGGCATTGTGTCACTGGCCAGCACCTCGTGTGTGTTCAGAAAGGGCTGCCCAGGTGTGGAAGTTATTTGTCCTAGTGTGTTTTGAAGTTGCCTTACTGTCTCTTCCTGATGAATTGAGGACAGCTGGTATCTCCTTACCTCTCTATAGTGGAGGGCTTAATGGGTAGCCTAGGAGACTTGGCTTCCCCCACTCCTCTTGCTGGACATGTCGGGTGGTAAGGAGCCCCCCAGGCCTGCCTCTGCCTAGTCCTTATCATGCCACTGCTGGACAGAAAAGCAAAGCAAGGTTCAGGACTGACATCTAGGCAATGCCCAAGACCACTTGACTAGGACATGGCTCTGACTGGCAGTGATGTCTTACTCAATCCGTGCAGCTGCTGTGTTGTGCACTGCTGAGAGGTTCCCCCATGTGAGGCCCACGTGCAGGGGGCTGGCGCCCTGGGAGGGATGGAAGTGGCCCTTGTGGAGCAATGTGCTGTGTCTTTAGCCCCTCTAGCCTGACCTTGTATTTCTGTCTTCTATCTCAGGCAGGGAGGACCTCAGCTTCCCACCTAGTATCTAGGCTTCTCCCACCCTCTGAGAGTTCTTTACCTAGGCAGAAAAATTACCTATAGGAAACAGGAATCAGGAATGCAGGCTCAAGCTGTTGAAGAATTGTGTGGGGCAAAAGTAGCCATGGTTCTCAGGGCTGCTTCAGAAGTCTGCCCTACAGCCCACCACCACTCAAGGTCATGGGGCCACTCCTGACTACTCAGTTTCAAGCAAAAGCAAAAGCCAGCTACCACCTGGCCCCAGCCAGATTGGTTTTGAAATGAAGGAAACAAACCTTCCTACTTCATGAATATGTTCCTCATTGTGGTTCCTGGAGTCCATGTGGTCAGAGTGGACCACAGGGACCTGGCCCTGCCTGTGCGTCCTGACCTCTCTCCTCTACCTGCTGCAGCGAGCCGAGTGCCCTCTATTGATGATGTCCTGCAGGATGGCAGCCCCCAGCACCGTGGTTGCAGCCAACCAGTCCCTCCTGCCGACATTTACCTACCAGGTAATGGCATCAAGTCTCATATAGACATTTGGACACAGCCTACCTCCTGTCTCTGAGGGTAGGGGAAGGAAAGGGGAGTCTGAGTGAGACCTGTTGTGCCCCTTCAGAGTCCAGGGCATCTCTCTGACTCTAAGCTGTACTCTGCTAATCCCCACAGCAGGACTCAGGCCAGGCTTAGTCTGCCTTCTGGCTTCCTGCAGGCCCTAGGGTTCTTTCTCAACCTGAACTTGGACTGAGGAAGGCAGGATAAGCTGTTTGCCAAAGTACTAAGTCCTTTCTCTGGCTGCTGCCTGCTGAGGCCCAGGGAGACCAGTCTTGCTCTGCTGAGGCTGCAGTTTGCCTTCATCTGTGGCCCATGCCTGTGGCTTACCTAGGCCACTGCCCAGGTGTACAGCAGCACATTCCCAGCCATGCCAGAGAGATGGACGTGTGGAGGTCCAATGGTTGGGCCACAGGCAGTGGGCTAGAGACTTACTGTTCTTTTCTAAAGGTTCAGGCATAAGCTATCACTTAGTTTGTCCTGTCTGTTCTGCTGGGATGAAGTTCTCAACTTTACACTTGGGGTTCACACTTAGGGCTCCAAATCTTGGGTATAAGTGGGTCTCTCAAACTTACAATGCTTTGATCTTGGGAATCCTGATAAACAGCTGTTAGACCTTCTAAGGCTGGTTCTTAGAAGCAGCTCCTTAAGGAGATGGGCTCCTCCACATGCCAGGGAAACTCCTTTGCTCCCTGTTTGGCTCTGAGGTCAGTGTTGCTCACTTTTCCAGGGCTCTTTGGGATTGGGTAATTGTGACATCCTTTGATGAAAGGGCTCTTATCTGCCTCTGTCCCCTGAATGTGAAGTGACCCAAAGAGGCTGATTGGGAACATGGGTCATGAGGTGTGGGAGAGTAGCTGTGGGTCATCTTACTGGAAGCATGTTTGGGAGCAGCATATCCTAAAGGGCACAATTGCAGTATGTCACTTGGAAGCACCTCAGGGACCCATCTTTATTGTAAACTTGGCTAAGCAGGAATTTGGGGGAGGTCCCTGGGTGTCTTGAGTTACTAGTATGAGCTTTGCTCCTGCAGGTGGACCTGAAAGCAGGCATCTTTACTTTTCAGCACAGGATACTTTATTCCCTCTGTGGGCTGCAGTACATCAGGACTGGTCACAGAGATAACTGTAGGCAAGGGTCTCAGGCCTCGTTTAAGTGTGCCAAGTAGGTGGGAGGCAGTCAGCTGGAGAAGCCAGATCTGCATGTACAGCTGGAGAAGGGTTCTGCACAGTGACTGCTTCTGGATCCCAGCTGCTCTCCGAGCTCTTTATACAGGCTTGCCCATGACAGAAGGCCAGGTTCCTATCTCTGCACATCTTGTTGGCGCTACCATTGATGTGTTCAGCACTGGGGTGTGGGGAAAGGCGTTTGTATGGTGGTTTCACACCTGCATGTTTTACCTTACACAATGGCACCTACTGTCTGTTCTCCTGGCTCTTGTCAGAGAAGGCTGTGTATCTTCATCTTTGTGAAGAGCACACATGCAGCTGGTGTCCCCCCCCACACACACACACTGGTGCAGCTGAAGTCACTATATCCAGTTCCCCTGGAGATGGGGAAAACAAGGCTGGGAAAGTTCATAAAACAGTGAGAAAGTAAGCTGGGTTGTGGTGATGCATGCCTTTAACCCTAGCACTTGGGAGGCAGAAGTAGGAGGATCTTTGTGAGTTCGAGGCCAGCCTGGTCTACAGAGCAAGTTCCAGGACAGCTAGAGCTACATAGAAAAACCCTGTCTCAAAAAACAAAACAAGCCGGGCGGTAGTAGCGCACGCCTTTAATCCCAGCACTTGGGAGGCAGAGGCAGGTGGATCTCTGTGAGTTCGAGGCCAGCCTGGTCTACAAGAGCTAGTTCCAGGCCAGGCTCTAAAACTATAGCAAAACCTTGTCTCGAGAAAACAAAACAAAACAAAACAAAAACCAGTGAAAAAGCAGGTGCCTCTGCTAGCTCCTCTCTGTGACCCAGTGGCCTAACTCCATAGCCACAAGAGGACTATGCCTGCTGCCTTCACACACACGTCTCTCTCTTGGCTAGAAAGCTATCCAGGATCTGTCCTTGTACTTACTACATGGTTATAGCAGGCGATGCGTGGGCAGTCTGTTTCTAGAAAGTTCCTGCCCCTGCCCCTAAAGTCCATGTCTTTCTGCTAACTGAGCTCCATCTGTCTCTCCCTCCTCTCTGCACAGCCCTGGGTCCCGAGTCCTGCTCTGTTGGTATAGAGGAGTAAGCTGGTACGTGACCTTTCCTCCACACTTCTGCTGGCTTGACTGGGTGTATCTGCAGAGAAGAGCCCAGTCCCCTGCGAGGTCTTTCTGGATTCAGAGTCCAGAGCCCACTGATGGCTGCTGCACCTTTGTGTCTGAAAGGTGGCTTCCTGGGGTCCTGACTTTGGAACCAGAGGGTCTCCCATTCAGACAGGTGCCCATCTAGGCTCTTTGAAAGTAATAATGTAGAGTCGTTTGAATGGTAACTCAACCCAGGCTTCTGGAGTTGCTGTCCGTGGTAGGAGGAAGGAGTTGAAGGATCAGGAAGCCTAGGAATATGTGGAACAGCATCCTGGGGGCTGCACACAGTAGTCTCACTGTGGTTTTTAAAAACGAAAATTCAGTACTGGGGATTAAACCTAAGTAGGAAGCACTCTACTGCTGAGCTACATCCCCAGCCCTCTTTACAGGTCCCTGTCCCTGGAGACAGGGTCTTACTAGTTCCTAGGCTGGCCTTAAACTTGTTCTGTTGCCCAAATAGGCTTTTAATATTCATTCCTCCTGCCTCAGCTGTGGTTGTGGCTTTAAGCAGAAGTTCAAATTTGTACCAGCCATGGGAGACTCTAGATCACCTATTCCCATCAACACTCCTGTCTATGGAGCATGTGTCCTCCCAAGTCTGTTGTGGGAGACCTGCTCTTCTGACTGCTCTTCCAGAATACTCTAGTTCAATTCCCAGCACCCACATGGCAGCTCACAATCATCTATAACTCCAGTTCCAAGGAATTGGCCACACTCTTCTGGCATCTGTGGGTACCAGACATGCAACTTCTATCCAGAGTTACATGCAGGCAAAACACTCATACTATAAAATGAAAATAAAAGCAAGCATTAAAAAATAATGCCAGGTGTGATGGCACAAGCCTTTAATCCCAGCACTTGGGAGGCAGAGGCAGACAGATCTCTGAGTTCCAAGGCAGTGAGGGCTACACAGAGAAACCCTGTCTCAAAACAAACCCCCTTGCTTCCTGTCCAGAGGGCATTCTTCATGCCTCTCTTCACTTGTCACTATGGCCTCTGTCCCCTCTCTGGCATCCAACTCTCTCATACACTGATGAGCTTTCCTGTCTTGAGACCATCGTTGCCACTGAGAACCTGTCCATCTTGTCTCTGAAGCCTGTAGTAACACACACACACAAAACAAACAAACAAACAAACAAAAAAACCACACTCTTAGTCCTGTTGGATAGGTAGCTGCTTGGCCACTGATTGCTGGTTACAGAAACATCCCTGAAAACTAGGCCTAAAGGTGGGGACTCTTTCTTCTTAAGGTTCTTTTTGTTTGTTTTTCAAGACAGGGTTTCTCCATTTTTGGAGCCTGTCCTGGAACTAGCTCTTGTAGACCAGACTGGCCTCAAACTCAGATCCGCCTGTCTCTGCCTCCCGAGTGCTGGGATTAAAGGCGTGCGCCAGCACTGCCCGGCCTTCTTAAGGTTCTTACAGAGAGGCTGGTAGCCTTCCATGTCAGGTTCCCCAGAAGAATGGCACCATGGCAGATCCACACAGTCTTTCTGGGAAGTGCCAGGTTGGTGTCCAGACTCTAGGCTGCAGCCCTCTCCTATCAGCCAGGGAACCTGGCCTGGTGTGATTTCTTTGATTTTGTTGGTGTTCATGGTTTCTATTATTGTGCCCCTTGAGCTGTGCTCCTGAAACAACAGCGCTGTCGTTATAGCTTCTGTCGGAGGAAGGGACAGCTGTGTTGGAATTCAGGTTGGACTTCAGCAGTTAAACCTTAGGTCACAGCTGGGGACTGCACCATAAAAGTTGACTTTTGTGATGCCACAGCTGCTAAAAAAGAGGGTAGGATTGGTTTGTCTGTGTCACTGGTGCTTCCCTGGGATAACAGCACACAGCATCACAGAGTGGGCCCCTGGCTCTGGGGCTTCTTCTGCTCCAGCGGAGCTGCTGCTCAGGCAGCCCAAGTACCACTTTGCCTTGTTCCCATCTGCTCACTTCCCCTTGCTAGAGCTGGCTGAACTCCAGCTAACCCAGCTGCAAAGCGCTTGGCCAGACTCTGCTGCTGAGGTCCAGGAATGGTAGTCCAGGGCAGGAGACCAGGGGCCACCAACCCACAGCCCACAGATACCCTCTGCCTGCAGCTCTACTGCCTGGTGTTGAAGGGTGATCTGTCTCAGTGTAGGAGACAGATACAACGTCCTAGCCTTCTATGAGGTCGCATCTATTCCTGCTAGATGGCATGTTCCTGGGTTGCGAGGTAGAGGGTGCTAGGTGGTCCTGTCCCCATGAGGCTCTGGGTTGATGGGAACAGATGTCTGACCAACAGCCCATCATGACCCCTCCTTCCTCTGATCCCCCCTACAGGATGGTCCACCTCCATGGAGACGCCACACAGCCTTGGCACCACCAGCTCCCCCTGGCCTCTGCTGAGTGGCTCTAATTCTGAGCCTGGAACTACTGAGCTGACCCCACTCTGAGAGCCTGGCTCAGCTGGTAGCACAGAGCCCTCAGTATCCCCAAAATTGCCAGGAGGCTTCCCTGGAGCCCAGTGAGACCCTGGCCTCTCCTGTCTGCACGCCGGGCTTTGAGGGGCCATAGTGAACCTTGATGAAATTGCACAGTGGACTGCTCTTCCACACGCCCTCCTTTTCTATGGTCGATATATTTGTAAATGGTACAAGATGAAGGACAGCAGTTTCCTCCATGGGCCATAGGCCCTAGAGGGGCTTCCAACTGCCAAGGTTGGTGCTCTGAGCACTTAAACCAACAGAAGAGAATCTACCCGAGAAGTGAAGTTCGGGAAGGGTGGGCAACCCAAGTTACGGTTGATGAAGGAAATGGTGCCTGTCTGCCTGTCCCATGTGTGTTCCCCAAGGCAGCCAGGCTCTGCTGCTGCTTTCACCTGATGTGTGTCCTGTTCTGCTCTACTCCCTACTAGTGACCTCTGACAGCTGGGGCAGCTGTGGCAAGACCTCAGTAGTCAGACTGTGTTAACAAGACAGCCATTGCAGTGGTTGGTATCCAGTACCCCTTATAGGCCCCACTTCACTCCTTTCCTCACACGCCTCCAAGGTGAAGATGTTCACACTTGCAGGGCGGCACTGCCCACCACTTGCCAGGGAAGAGCCTGAGCAGCTTCCATAGCAGACATTGGCAGTTACATGTCCTTTTGTGTTTCCCATTGGTTAATTTTCTTAAGGCTCCTGTCAGAGCCCACCTAGGAGCAGTGCCCCAGTGATATTTTGTTTCCAAGATAAAGGGCCCGTGGGTGGCCCTAGGACAGAAGTGCCTAGGCAGTGCGGCTGACCTGGTGGGCAGGTATGGAATTGCCCTGCCACTCACCGAGGTGACAACTTGTAGCAATGCTTGGAGCCTCCCCTTTAGGCTCAGGGTTGCTTGAGCTCCGGCTTTACCTCTTTCTATCGGTGGCTGGCCTGATCTCTGGTAAGCCTGTGAACAAAGCCTTGTCTGCATATCCATCTGCCCTTTCCTGCTGAACGCACACATAATGCACACATGTCAGCATGTGCATGCCCACCCCCACCTGCCAACATCCTGGCCTCTGGCCGTGTACTGGTACCAGCACTTTGGAAGGTGGGAGGCAGACTTCAGACTCACATGTGCTATCATTTGATGGACCCTGGTTGACTAATTTTGGGGTTGTTTTTACTGTATATTTATAGTAATAAAATCATGCAGCAATATTCTGCGTGTGCCTTTGTTCTGGCACAGCACCGTGGGCAGGTAGTCCTTGATGTGGTGGCAGGACACTTAGTGGCTTCTGGTAGCTCCTGACCGATTGTGGTACCACCTTCATTTGCTTGTATGAGAAGGGCAGTGAGTACCCCGTCCAAATACAGGCAAAGTTTTTTTTGCTCTTTGTTTTGTTTGCTCTGCCCTGGAGTGAAGCTGAACGTGGAATTTAGCCCACCTCTCCTGAGCAATTTGGTGATCTTAGCCTCCAGGTACCGCACAGGTTGTCCCAGTTTTTACACCCACCCCCGCACTTCTGATGTGCTGGAGGAGGGCAAAGGGGGTCACTTAGATGCTTAAATCTTTAATGGCATGGTTTCACAAGACAACGGTGGAGCCACAAGCTCGGGGTCGAGGCACAAGGGGAAATCTGCACCCTCAGAGATGAAGTGGATATTAAGATTTGCAGCTGTCCCATTAGGGATGTCTGGGACTCTAGATGCTCAGTATACCTCACCCTGATGACCTGGCGTCTGCGCGGTGCATCTTGGGAATTCTAGTTTTCTGGTCTGTGGGTGCGGTCATCTGTGCACCTTGGAGGGTGGTAAACGCCACCTTCTCGCCTGGGGTTCCGGTCTTTGAGTTCTACCCCAGGCTCTCAGGATTGGTGGGGGCGGGCCCATGCACGTGGGTGCGCGTGGATTGGGCCTGTGTGTCGTGGGCGGAGTCGCGCATGCTCATTTGGGCGGTGGGCCTGGAGCCTAGCAAGATGTCGACCACGACGGTTCCGGAGCTGAAGCAGATCAGCCGGGAGGAAGCAATGCGCTTGGGACCCGGCTGGAGCCACTCTTGCCACGCCATGTTGTATGCCGCCAACCCCGGGCAGCTCTTCGGTCGTATTCCCATGCGGTTCTCAGTGCTGGTGAGGAGCTGGGTGGGCGAGCGGGCAGACAGAGGCTTGGGGTGCCCTGTGGACCCTGCATCCTGATCTGGCTTACCTTACAGATGCAGATGCGCTTCGACGGGCTGCTGGGCTTCCCCGGGGGTTTTGTGGACCGGCGCTTCTGGTCACTGGAGGATGGCTTGAACCGTGTGCTGGGTCTGGGCCTGGGCGGCCTGCGCCTTACCGAAGCTGACTACCTGAGCTCACACCTGACTGAGGGTCCACAACGCGTGGTGGCACATCTGTATGCACGGCAGCTGACACTGGAGCAGCTGCATGCTGTGGAGATCAGCGCTGTGCACTCGCGGGACCACGGTCTGGAGGTGGGACCACTGCCTGGGGCCCGCCCCCATTCCCACTCCTGAGGTTTGACTCTGGCACCACAGAAGGCAACGATGGGTAACAAGTGTCCCTCAGGGTCCTCACCCTGGCCACGCTGGGTGGGAAGAGAGACTTGGGGTCTGGGTCCGGGCTGTTTACATTTGCCTTGCTGCCTGCCGTTGTCAATCCTGGGAGTGGGGCATGGGATCCCTGGAAAGAAGAGATGGCCAGGGTCTGCTTGGGAAATTGAGGACAGACCAAAAAGGCTAGGTTGTAGGGTTTGGGGTTGTCTCATGAGAGGCTATGTGAAAGCTTTTAGTGTTTGTGGATACCCTGGCCGAAGGGGTTTAGAGTGAGACCAGGAATCATGAGTGCTGGCAGACAGGGTGGGGAGTGCATAGGCTCTTCTGCTCCAGCCTTGCCTGGCCAGACCCTGCCAGAGCCCTACCCCTGTAAGGAGAGCTCAGCCCCACCCATGCCCTCTGTCCCACAGGTGCTGGGCCTTGTACGTGTCCCACTGTACACCCAGAAGGATCGAGTAGGAGGCTTTCCTAACTTCCTGAGCAATGCCTTCGTCAGCACTGCCAAGTACCAGCTCCTATTTGCCCTTAAGGTACTCAACATGATGCCCTCGGAAAAGCTGGCCGAGGCCTTAGCCTCGGCCACAGAGAAACAGAAGAAGGCCCTAGAAAAGCTGCTCCCGGCCTCATCCTGAGATTCCTGTGTGGGTTCTTGCCCTCCCTTGGCTGTCTCTGCCTACAGGCCCTGGAATTCCCGAGAAGTGTGCCTTCTAGCGTGTTTGGTTTTGCACCCCTTCTGACTGCAAGGGACAAGCAGGCAGCTGTTCATCTTTACTGTCCCAAACAGTCCCTGGGACCTAACTACCCTCTCAGGTTTGTTCAGTGGCGTGGCCTGGGCCTGGCTTTTCAAGCTGAGGATGTTGTCACTCATTCCAAGGCTCAGACTGTCCTGTGAGGTCTGTTCATGACAGGTGGAGGCCCAGCTAGAGCCCACTTTTCTGAGGCAACCACTTGGTTGGTACATGGCTCCTGGACTGGTCAGGGGTTTCATTCAGTGGAGGTGACACAGAACCTGATCCAGCTTGCAATAGGCTGTTATTCATTTGGGTTGTTGTTGAATTTTTCTGTTAGATTTTTCTTTCTTGGTGTGTAAACTGTGGGTTGCTTTCAGAGTGGCTGTGCCCCACATGGCTTGGTTCCTCCTCCCCAGAAGGGCTCAACTCTGTGGAATTGAGGAAACAAGACAATAAAGCCATTCCTCTGACGCTCACATTTGCTTCTGGGTGGCATGACCACATCTTTCTTGGAGGTGTGTGGAGGTCAGGTTCAAGAACACGATAGGACTCTTGAGCCCTGAAGACAACCAGTCTGGCTAGTAGCTTGACTTCGGCCCTTGTGGTATGGCATAAATGAAAGCACAGACTTGATGTGCATGCCACCGCAGTCTGACTTACAGCTGTCCAAACACTGTACAATTGGAAAACTCCCACAGCTCCACTTTAGGGCTTAGAACAGTCACCAAGCAGGGGAGAGATCCTGGAGCAATGAATGGAGAACAGAACTAACTAACTATAGATAGGTTACTAGGGTCTGCTGATGATAGCCAGAAATACATGTCATATGATCAGAAATGAGCCCCCAATCAACCTGCAGGTAATTTTATTTTCCAACAAACAGCAAATTTTCTAGACATCCCAGACCTCACCTTAAGACCAAATCTCAATGTGGCACCTGCATGTGTGGGGACACATTCTTCCCACAGCCCTGTCTGGGTCAGAGCTTCCTACCCGCTTGGGTCTTTTCACCAGGACCTGGATGTCAGGCCATTCATCCTGCCTCAGGGCTGGCCCAAGCTGCCCAAGCAGGGACTGAGTCTTGTCCTCCTGTCCACAAGCTGTTCCCTGGGCTGGTTTTCCATCCCCTAGGCAGCTGTGGACATCTGCTCACTGCCCTGTCTTGCATGACTCATCTAACTTCAGGGTGGATCCATCACCCAACGTCAGAATCTGAAGAAAAATTATCAAAAAAAAAAAAAAGAAAGAAAAAGAAAAAGAAAAAAAAAAAGCCTGGTAAGCAGGGACAGGAAGGTTAGGTGGTCCAGGGTGCCCATGGGCATGTGGGTACTCTCACCATCCCTCCTGGCTATGGTTCCCGCCATTTCTTCCCATTCAGCGTCTGTAGCTTCTCCAGGCTCTGTGTTACAGAGCATAATGCCTGCCCTAAGGATAGGGCCAATTAGTTAGTGTTCTGTGTGTCAAGTCTCAGCAACAGGGAAGAAGGGGAACTCGGGGCACTAGGAATAGGCCCTGGGGTCTGAGCTGATTGGGTATGGCCAGCTCTCAGCCTCAATCCTTGGAAGAGGATCTGGGGAAGGGTGAGGTTGAAGCCTTGGCTGCCCTCCTAGAGACTTACCCATCTCATGGACACAGTCTTCCAGGGCCCCTGACAACTCAGGAAGGCTCAAGGCCTGAAGGGGAACAGGCCAGCCTTTGGAATCTGTGATGCAGAAGGGCAGGTTGGCCACAGGTTATGTCCTCATTCATTGCTGATGTATGAGTGACTGCCCCAGGCAGGGATGTACCCAGCTACAAGTTAACAACTGCCATTTAAGGTTCAGGCCTAAGTAGAGCTCAACCCTGGTGAACCCAGCCACCCAACTCCATTAGTGGGCTCAATGGACAGTGTAGTCAGCCATGAAACAAAGGCCCCTTACACTTGCCATCTAACCCCTAAGTTACACTATTACACTAAGTGTAATAGTGCATCTCTCGTCACAAGTGGGCTAGTTCTGGGGACAGGGTTGCCACTGTAACAGTCAGGCAGAGCCCACTGGTTGGAACTTAGCTTAGGGCTTCCTGCCCACCACTCTTGTCCTATTCCAAATCCAGGCTATTGTTCTTACCTGCCGAGAGAAAAGGTGGACTTAGGGAAGCTTCAATAGGGGATTGGTCCTGCCTCACTCGAGCTGACAGCTCAGCCTGACAGGCCCTGCCAGACATATGACCAAGTGTTAGTGTGTAAGAGGCCCTGCTGTCAACCCCAACCCAGACAGGGCAACAAAAACCACCTCAGCCCTGAAGCCAGCCCTGGAAGCCCCGTACTGGTATTGTCATGCTGCTCCCCAACCTGCATTTAGTCAAGCCTGGGTCTGCACTGTGGCAGACAGAGCTGCAGGCACTATGGTTTTCCCCCATTTCCCAGCTATTTAGAGGATCAGGAAGGGATGCCTGACAAGTGTGGGGGGTAACTGCCTGAGTGTGTGAACCACTTACCGAAGCTGGTCCAGGACGAGGGCAGCATCCTTGGCTAGGGTCTGGGCCTCCTGCAGCTGGGCATGGATGTCCTTTCGGGCACTATCCTGCTCCAAGAGGCAGCTCTCTACTACAGCCCGCAATTCCTGCTCTTGGGACACCTGGCCACGAAGGGCCTCTGCCTCCTCACAGCGCTGCAGACAAATACCAAGCCAGAGGGCCTAAGCCAGGAGGCCAAGACCCATGCTGGCTGATTCCCCCAAAGGGCAGTCTGAGGCTGCCTGTCTGCTTCTCTGGAGTCCATTCTAGGAATTGCTCCTTTGGCTCCCTCCTACAGATCTGAGTTTCTGTATGGGCTACTTGCTCTTCCCTCCTGCATTCAGCTGACTTTTTTCCACCCCTTCAGGTTTCCTGTCTCCAGTCCCCTCCCAACGCCATACCCTCTGCTACAAAGGTGTAACTCTAGATGTACTCTG